CAGCAACGAGATGTGTAACTAGAGTCCATGGATGGAAGGTTGGCTTCTGTGATGGTCTGGGCTGTGCACACCACCTTCTGTAGTTTCTTACAATACTGGGCAGAGCAGTTCCAGGCTGTTATGCACCCGGACAGTATGGTTTTGATGGTGCATCTATAAAAGTTGGTGAGGATCCTTACGGACATGCCAAATTTCCTAAGCTGCCTGAGGAAGAAGATGTGTTGTTGTACCTTCTTGACCATCACATCTAAGTGGGAAGTCCAGGACAGGTCATCAGTTATCATCATTCCTAGAAACTTGATGCTTTCAAGCTTTTCTTTTGTATTCTAGACATCTATAAGAGATAACGTTTCATTGTACTTGGTTTTTTTCAACTGACTGGTACATTTTAGTGCAATGTATAAATTGACCCTAAATCTGACTGATTAAGGTGTTGCCATGGAGAATGCACCTAGAAATAGTGTCTTCCAACTTTTTTACAGTAATTGAACAAAGCACAATGCCTTGACAAATTCCTTTTGTTGCAGAAGACCAAGGCCTGTGTATGAATGTACGTAGCTTGTAGCAAGCGTAAATTAGTCACATTATGATCTCAACTGATAGTTTAAAATTGGGGTTGTTGTGAATTTTTTTTAGCACGCTCTGAACTGTTTAGCAATTGTTGTCCAGTTGTGGAATCACATTTAATGTTGGAAAATATGTTTTGAGTTTTGCATGCATGGTCTGGTGGAGTACAGTCAGCAGTTTACCTGTTGCAGATGGACAAGGGGACACACTGTTTGATATAATCCTTCAGTTGTTAGGATTTAACAGCCGACATATCTGGCAATCACAACAGCACTGGATCTCATACGCCCTATTACTCAATTGCGTGGAATGCAGAACAACATTTTGCTCATCAGCAGCATTGTGTTAGTGGTGAAGACCACCCTTGTTGTTTCTGCTTAGGAGCAGCAATAAATGGCTAATGCCATCTGATGCTCAAAGTTAATACCGTACCCTTCCAACATAATCTGAGGCTGACTGAGCACTTTTCAGGATCAAAAATACAGTATTAGGTTTTTGGGAATTGAGAATACTTGGGGATCAGGAATAATTAGGAATGGGGAATATTTTAGAAAAGGGAATCAGGAATTCTTGGGATCAAGAATATTTGGGGATTGGGAATGTTTGGGGCTCGAGAATATTTTGAGAAATGGGAATGATTGGGGATTGGATACATTGATAAATGGGAATATTTAGGAATTAGGAACTTCGGGGGAATTTGGAATATTTAGGGAACAGGAGTGTATGGGAATTGGGAATGATTGGAAATTGGAAACATTTGGGAATTATCAATATTTGGTACATTTGGGAAATGGAATACTTGGGACTAGGAATGATTGGAATTGGAAATGGAAATTGGGAATTGCTATTGGGAAATTGGAATTGGGAATATTTGGGAAATGAAAATTGGAAATGATTGAGTATTTGGGAAATGAGGATTGTTGAGAATTGGAAATGATTGAGGATTGTGAATATTTGGGAAATGGGAATTGGGAATGATTCAGGATTGGGAATATTTGGGAAATGGGGATTGTTGGAAATTGGAAATGATTGAGGATTGGGAATATTTGTGAGATGGCAATTGGGAATGAACAAAGAACAAGAACAAAGAAAATTACAGCACAGGAACAGGCCCTTCGGCCATCCAAGCCTGCGCCAATCCAGATCCTCTATCTAAACCTATCACCTATTTTCAAAGGATCTGTATCCCTCTGCTCCCTGCCCATTCATGTATCTGTCTAGATACATCTTAAATGATGCTATCGTGCCCGCCTCTACCACCTCTGCTGGCAATGTGTTCCAGGCACCCACCACCCTCTGTGTAAAGAACTTTCCACGCATATCTCCCTTAAACTTTTCCCCTCTCACCTTGAAATCGTGACCCCTAGTAATTGAGTCCCCCACTCTGGGAAAAAGCTTCTTGCTATCCACCCTGTCTATACCTCTCATGATTTTGTAGACCTTAAACAGGACCCCCTCAACCTCTGTCTTTCTAATGTAAATAATCCTAATCTACTCAACCTCTCTTCATAGCTAGCACCCTTCATACCAGGCAACATCCTGGTGAACCTCCTCTGCACCCTCTCCAAAGCATCCACATCCTTTTGGTAATGTGGCGACCAGAACTGTACACAGTATTCCAAATGTGGTCGAACCCAAGTCCTATACAAAGTAACATGACCTACCAACTCTTGTACTCAATACCCCATCCAATGAATGAAAGCATGCCGTATGCCTTCTTGACCACTGTATCCACCTGCATTGCCACCTTCAGGGTACAATGAACCTGAACACCCAGATCTCTCTGTGCATCAATTTTCCCCAGGGCTTTTCCATTTACCCTATAGTTCGCTCTTGAATTGGATCTTCCAAAATGCATCGCTTCGCATTTACCTGGATTGAACTCCATCTGCCATTTCTCCGCCTAACTCTCCAATCTATCTATATTCTGCTGCATTCATGCATGCTGCTGCATGATTGAAGATTGGGAATATTTGGGATATAGGGATTGTTGGGAATTGGAAATGTTTGAGTATTGGGAATATTTGTGAAATGGGAATTGGGAATGATTGAGGATATGGAATATTTGGGAAGTGGGGATTGTTGGGAATTAGGAATGATTGAG